GAGGGGCAGAAAGAGAGGGAGACACAGACTCCGAAGCAGGCTCCAGGCTCCGAGCTGTCAGCACAGGGCGCGATGTGGGGCTTGAACGCACGAACCGTGAGGTCATAACCTAAGCCGAAGTCGGCCGCTTAACGGACCTAGCCACCCAGGCGCCCCGTTTACAATCTTTACGGCCCTCAAAAGGGACAGAGGATGATGATTAGGACCAGCAGCTGTCATTTACGGAGTACAGTCTGCCGGGCCCTGTGCTACACCTTTTGCAGCCCACTTGAAAGCTTACAACGAGCTGGCTGTGATATTATTAAATCGCGTTTGCAGATGAGGAGCCCGGAGGCTCAGAGAGACTAAGTAACCTGCCCAGGGTCACCTACCTAGGAGGTGGCAGATTCGGACTGGAACCCAAATCTGGCGGAGCCCAAAGCCAGAGCTCCTTCCCCCTCCCCGGCCCTTGCTCCCGCTTCCTGAGAGACTCCCACAGTGGTTGTACCCCAGAAAGGCTGCTCCAGCCTGGGGGCCCCAGCCTCTACCCAGAAGGGCCACGTCCCCTGGGTGTGGACAAAAGGGCTCCACGATTCTGGGCAGGGCCTTTGCGGTCTCGTGCCCTCCGTGTCCCGGACTTCGTGGCCAGAGCCGCCCCCCTGTTCCGCCCACCTGAGCGCCCATGGCTGACCGCCAGCCAAGGCTGACAGACTTGCGGTTCTTCCCCCCACTGCAAACAGGACCTCAAGTCTTTTGCCTCATTCTCTCCAAACCATGATACCAAGAGGGGGCAGGCAGGATGGCTCTGGTTGTCTCTGTGACAGACAGGGAAACCGAGGCTCCAGAGTTCAACTTACCTGAGAAGTGGTTGGGGTGAAGGTGACACCCTGAACCCTCATCCGGGTCCTTGGGGGTTTCAGCTCTGCCCCACCCCCACCCCCACATGCCCTGCTGAGTCCCGTGAGCTGAGGGGCACTGCCCTGGGGGTTTGGCCAGAGCTGGGTGAGGCTCTGCCCACGCAAGACCTCTCTGGGTCAGGCTCTGGACCGTGACTCCTAGGCCCCCCCAGGAGGATTGTCTAGCTCCAGGGTCAACTTGGCCATCCCCCTGTTCCCACCCTTAGTAAGTCTGTTCAGCATCAGGAGCCAGGGTGAGGCTGGGAGGCCGGGCTTCTGGTCCCGGCTCTGCCACTGCCCCGTCACGGGACCTGAGGCCAGCTACGGCCACCTGTGGTCTCAGTTTCCCCAGATGGAAAATGGCCTGATGGATGCGGCCCTGTGCCCTGCCCAGAGCAGCAAGGAAGGTCAGGAAGGAATGATTAATGGTGGGCAGTAGGGTCTAGGACAAGGAAAACCATCCACTGGCAGAGCACTTGTTCCCGGGAGTGGAAGGAGATGTGGGGAAAGGTGGACTTAGGTCACACGGCCCCGTTTTGCCGTGGCCTGGGTCCTGCGGGGGGCCCAGACAGGTGCTGAGGGTCCTCTCCTGTAGGACAGCCACAGTGTGGAAGACCCTGTGCCCGTTCTGGGGTGAGGAGTACCAGGTGCACCTGCCGCCCGCCTTCCACGCGGTGGCCTTCTACGTCATGGATGAGGATGCCCTCAGGTGGGTGGGCCCCCACTCTTTGGCTGGGGCCCAGACCCCACCACCTGCCCATTTCACTGCTGGGACTGCTGGTCGCTTTGCATCCTCTTTACAGCCTGGCGGGAGGGGGAGCCCAGAAGGGTCTGGAAGGGATCGGGGTTTGAGCGTGTGGGTGTCTGTGGGGGCGGAGGGTTCACTGGGCTCACACCACATCGTACGTGTGCGTGTGCGGGGACACAGGCACGGGTGTGCTGGGCCGCGCTTGGGGGCTGTGAGCTAGAGAACCCACAGAGCATGAGCTCGGCAGATGCGTGGGCACACGTGTCCATCCGTGCGCAGAAACAGGGCACATACCCACGAGAGGGTCCAGAATGCAGGGCCTACGGGAGGGTCATGGGTCCTGCTGCAGTAGGCTCCTGTAAGTGACGAGCGTCAGCCTCCCTGCTTCCCACAGGGCCCCTGAACTGGGCAGGAGGGGGGTCCCGAGCCCCCTGCAGAGCCCTGCCCAGCTCTGGTTCCCTCTTCATCCTCCAGCCGGGACGACGTTATTGGGAAGGTCTGCCTTACCAGGGACACCCTGGCCGCTCACCCTAAGGGTAAGACCCCCGGGAGGGAGCCTGTGGCCCACTCTGGCCTCCCTCCTCTCTTGCCCCACTGCTCTGCTTGTCCCCGGCCTTCCCCCATTTCAGAGACACTTCTTCTAGGCTGCTTCAGGGCCCATGCTCACGGAGAGCCATGTCTGCCCTCCCTAGAAGGGCCTCTGGCCAGCTCCGGCACCCTGGCCTCTGTGCCCTGGGCCCCATTCTGCCCCCTGGCTGGGACTGCACCCCCCTAGGGCCGAGGGGGGCTGCTAGCAGTGGGATCTGAAGCCTCGGCAGGCAGAAGAAGGGCCTCTCTATGCCCCATTGCTGAGATGTAGAGGCCCCCTCCTCCCAATCGGGCTGGCTCTTTCTGTACCCCTGGAGTCCCCCCAGCTTGGGCCCCAGTGCCATCGTGTCCTAAGCCTGTGAGGGGTCAGCCTGTGGCTGGGCTGGGCCCCTTTGGTGACTGCCGGGATGCTGACATTGTTTCCAGGGTCAGCTCTTTCCCAGCCTCACTGTGTGACCTGGGGCCTCCTCTGGGCTGGGTCCCTATCTGCCAGGGAGGGTTCAGGCCAGGAGCTCTCAGACAGTACAGGTTCCGCTTGTCTGAGTCCCCGGGACTCTCCCGGGGCCTTCCCGGCACGCACCTGCTCCTGTCTGTGAGGCCGGGCAGGCATGCGGGGGTGGGGGGGACTTTGCTGACTCATGGAGCCTCTTGGCCCCTGCCAGGCCAGAGGCCTTTCCTGCCCGCTGCCCCCACCAGCCCCTCAGGGTCCAGTGGCCCAAGTGATGCTGTTCCCTTGCTGCTTCCCCGTCTGGCCTTAGTTCCTCCTCCAGCAGCCCTAGACAAGAGCCATTGTTTTAAGTTGGAGAAACTGAGGACAGAGAAGGCAGTCCCGTCGTGAGTCAGGGTCAGAGCCGTCACATGCCTTGTGACACAATAGTAAGGACACAGGGGTCACCGGATTTGGATGCTCATCAAGCCTCTTCCAAGTGCTGTTGCTCAGCTGCTGAGCCTCAGTTTCCTCATCTGTCAGTGGGGACAACAGCCCCCGCCTCACGGAGCTTGAGAGGACCCCGAGGGGCCTGCAGAGGGGGCTGGGTGGCGCCTGGCGGGGCTGAGGGAGAGGGCCAGGCCCCCGGCTGAGCCGCCAGCCCTACAGGTTTCAGCGGATGGGCGCACCTGACGGAGGTCGATCCCGATGAGGAGGTGCAGGGCGAGATCCACCTGCGCCTGGAGGTGGTGCCGGGGCCGCGGGCCCGCCGGCTGCTGCGCTGCTCTGTGCTGGAGGCCAGGTGAGACGGGAGGCGCGGGGGCGCGGGGCGGAGGGCCCCACACAGCTAGGGACACCGGCTAGGACTCCCGGTGTGCCGTCCCCCCCTCCGTGTCCTGGCCCTGCACCTCCTCCCACGAGGAGGGCCTCGGACCCGAAGAGGTTTCCTGGGTGACCGCACACGGGAGGCTATGTCTCTTGGAGAAAGGGGTGAGGTTCTAATGGTGGAGCTTCGGGCATCACAGAGGGGACCGCAAACTCTGAACGTGCAGGCCCAGTGCTAAGACTGGGCTTCTGCTGCCTTTAACTCCAGTATGAACTTGACCTGATGCAGCGTGGATGTGTAGCGGGGTCCTCAGTGGGGTGGGGGGTGGAAGGAGTTGCTGGAAAACTCCAGATGGGAGGGGCGGGGTTCTCTCCAGGAGGGAGGCTTGGGTGGGAAGGTGGGCCTGAGTCACCTGTGACAGGGTTCCCCCTCCCCCCCCCACCCCCGGCTATTTTTAGCTGCAGGCTCCCCTCCCGTCTGGGCCTGAGTGTGAGTCACACACGTTCCATGAGAAGCACCTTCCTTTCTGGCTCCAGCCCACCTCCACAGGGTCCTTGCTCGCCTCTGGGGCGGCAGGGTGGGGAGTGGAACCCCATGTGGGTGGGTGGCTTCCCTGGGAGGAAGATCTCTCTCCTGCCAATGAGGACTGTGGCTCCCCTGGGCTTTATTTTCTGTCCTGGGGCTGGGACGTGGAACAGCCACAAACACATGGAAAACTTGTGGGTGGCCGAGGCTCCAGCCTGGCCTCCACTCAGCAGGTCCCTGGGTGGGAGGAGTGGTCTGTCCAGACCTCTCTGTAAAGTGTGAGGGGCCTTGGCCCCCGCCGCCCCCAGCTCAGACCCTGCTGGGGTCCTGAGAGGCCTACGAAGCTGCCTTTGCTGCAGAGGCAGAAAGAACGTTTCTCATCTTTCTGGGCAGGTCCTCAAGGCCAAGCTCTGGGATTCCTATTAGACGGCTGTGAGGAAGAAAAAAAACCAGGCATGAGAGGCTTTGAGCTGAAAATACCAAAAAGAGCAGAAGCTAATATTTATAGTAGATGGAAGAAGGATGGGCTTTGTTGTTTTGGCGCAAAGGGTCCTGAGCTGGGGGCGCCTGACCGCCCTTGGGCCTTGCAAAGGACCAGCTGTGGAGACAGGGCAGGATGGCCTATCGGGGCTGCTCATGAAACCCCCCTGGCCCTGTGGGGCAGGCCTTCTAGAAGCCCGTGATCTCAATTGTTGGGGCGATCTTCTCCATTCCACTGACAAGGAAACCGAGGCTCAGAGCGGTGGCCCCAGCTCAGTCCTGCCCTGGGAACAGATTGGGGGTGGGGCGGCACAGCCCCGGCTGTTCCATGGATGCGCTCGCCTCCCCCAGTCCCCAGAGCAGCAGCTAGTCCTGCCGAGTCAGAGGATCCCCGGTCTGGTGTGGGTGCCCCTGGAGGCCCATGGGGTGAACGCTGTGGGAATCAGGGTCCAGAAAAGGGAGGGGTGCTGTGCATAGTTACCCAGTGGGCCCGGATGACCCCCGCAACGGTCATGTGACAAGTGGATGCTTCACTTTCCCCAGGGACCTGGCCCCGAAGGACCGGAATGGTGCCTCTGACCCCTTTGTCCGAGTGCGCTACAGCGGCCGGACACAGGAGACCTCGGTGAGGGGGCTGGGGAGGGGGCAGGCAGGCTCAGGGTCTGGCCTGGGCCCTCATCACCCGGGAGGTCAGGCTGGGACTACGGTCCCACAGAAGAGGCTTGGAAAAGCGGGGTGACCTGTGTGAGGGTGTTAACAGATCCCAGCCCTTCTGGCACCAACCCCTGCAGGCTGGGCCGAGACAACCAGTGTGGGGTTCATCTGCACAGTCCAGCAGCTCCCTGCATGGCTTTCCTCACCTCCAGCAAATAGCTGGGGTGGTGGGCGCAACCCCGGGAGGAGAAGGGGGTGGAGTCTTGGCTTCTCAGTGCCATTTGCTACCTTTTTGCTGTGTGGCCTTGGACAAGTGCCTTACCCACTCTGAGCCCCAATTTCTCCCGGTTTGGGGAAGGTTTGAACAGGAAGTTTAAACCTCTCCTGCTGCAAGGCCCCTGCAAGGATCCCACGTGGGGTGTTTGGGGTGGCTGGGCCTTGGGGGGGGCCCCTTGGGGTCACCCCACCCCTACTCACCCCGTTTTGGGCAGATCGTGAAGAAATCACGCTACCCACGCTGGAACGAGATGTTTGAGTTTGAGTTGGAGGAGGGGGCCGCGGAGGCGCTGTGTGTGGAAGCCTGGGACTGGGACCTCGTCAGCAGGAATGACTTCTTGGGCAAAGTGAGCACCCTGCCCCTTCTGGCTGCACCTGCCCCGCCTCCATTCCAGCACCACCCCCCTTCTCTCCTCCTCCCCTCCTCCCCCACCCCGCCCTGCTGCTGCTTCAAAGGGGCACTCCCCAGGGCCAGCCACTGGTGCTCAGGGACCCCCGGAAGGGACTCCCCCAAAGGAAGATTCCTTGGCAAGGAAGAGCGCTGAGGGCCCCAGCCCCAGCCCCAGCGCGGCTTCCCTGCCTCTGCCTTGTCCCCAGGTGGTGTTCAATGTCCAGAAACTGTGCACGGCCCAGAAGGAGGAGGGCTGGTTCCGGCTGCAGCCCGACCAGTCCAAGAATCGGCGGGGAGAGTGAGTGCCTGGGGCTCGGTGGTGGGGCTGGTGGGCTCGGGGTCCCCAGGGCAGGGGGGCGCGGACAGTGGCTCCAATAGGCGGGGCTGCGTGTGGTGGGGGGAGGGGCTGACGCAGCTCCAGGTTTCTTTCTGCGCTTGCCCGATGGCCCAGGCTCCGTTATCCTGGCCTATCCTGCCGCCTCTGGCTTCTCACAGCCTTGGACTCAGCCCTGTCCTCCAAGGCAGTCTCCTGCTTTCCACCTTCTGGCAGATTCTGGAACAGGCCTTCAGCCCTTTCCCTTTAAGGGTTTCTCTGCAGACCTCAGACCATAGTTTGAGTCCCCAGAGCTCTGACTCTCCCCCCAAATTCTCCAGGAATAAGGTTGCCAGATAAAATACAAGCTGTCCCCTTAAAGCTGAGTTTCAGACAAACAATGAATAATTTTTAGTGTAAGTATGTCCGTGCGATGTTGGGGACCGACTTCTACCAAAGATATTCAGATTTAACTGGGTTTCTTGTATTTTTATTTTGGTAAATCTGGCAACCCCCTCAAGGAAGCCCTCTGGCCTCCTCGCTCACCACTCAGCCCGGAAGTGGGGGATCAGCAGTGTCCCCCACCTTGGATGGTTCACTCTGTCTCTCTGCAGAGGACCCCAGACCCCCCATCCCCACCATCAGCGGGGCAGGGGCAGGGCAGGGGCTGAGTCCCGCAGCAGGCATTTCCATAGGACGAGCCGTTTTGGCGGCTTCTACTGTGTATGAGGCCATGTGCTAGTGCATCACTTAGTGAACTGTCCTCTGCTTCTGGACATGGGGGCCTTAGAGAGGTTAAGCCTTGGTCAGCACCCTCCCCAGAAGGGGTCTGAGCAGAGGAACTTGGTAGTTAGATCCATTATGGCGAGTTGCTTAATCCCCTCGAGCCTCAGTTTCCCCTGGCAGGTTGTTATGACAGTTGGGGATTGTGTATGTGGAGGAGCGGATCTCTGATGAGAGTTTACAGATTCAAAGCTGGGAGCCCCGCATGTCCATATGGGTGGAGCGCAGAGTTCAAGGCGTCTAGAAGTGACAGGGAGCCAGGCGGTGAAAGTGGGTGGTGTTCCCCTGAGTCTGGAGGCGGGAAGGGCTTTCCGAGCAGAGAGCACCTTGGGGAAAAAGTGGGAGGGGTGCAGTGCAGGGGACCAAGGTGGAGGGCAGGCCCCAGGGGAGTATGGAGGCAGTGCGGGCGGGGGCACGGCCCAGGTGGCCTGGGTCCCCGGTGGAGAGGTCACAGGCTGCCCGTTCCAGGGGCAACCTGGGCTCCTTGCAGCTGGAGGTGCGGCTGCGGGACGAGACGGTACTGCCCTCCGGCTGCTACCAGCCCCTGGTGCAGCTGCTGTGCCGTGAGGTGAAGCTGGGCACCCAGGTGAGGGGGCCCCGGGGGAAGGTGGGAGGGTCCAGGGACAGCAGGCCTGTTCTCCCTGTCCTTCTAAACCTGCTCTGAAGAGCAACACTCTCAGTTCTCAGGATGGTAAGGAATTGACCAATGCCCAGGGCCCCTCGCCATTCTGTGGGAAAGCACGCCTCCCCCTTCCCCGTGGTGGTCCCAGGCCCTCGGAGTGAAGGGTTTGGGTTCCCCTGTGCGTCTTCGGACCCTGCCTCCTCGCTGCCTCCTGCAGGGCCCAGGGCAGCTGATAGCACTTATCGAGGAGACGACAAGCACCGAATGCCGCCAGGATGTGGCCACCAACCTGCTCAAACTGTTCCTGGGGCAGGGACTGGCCAAAGACTTTCTGGACCTGCTCTTCCAGCTGGAGCTGGGTCGTACCAGTGAGGCCTGGGAGGGAGTGGCCTGTCTGAGGGTGTGGTGGAGAGGGGAGCCAGGAGCCAAGGACTCCGGAGATGCTGAGAGGGGAGAAATCTGGGAAGTCTTCCTGTAGGAAGCTGCCTGATCTGATTAGGGGGCAAAGGAAAGAGCAAAAGGCAGAGTTGGGGCAGTGGGCTGCGGGCTCCCAAGGTCCTCTGTCCTCCCCAAAGCCTGGTCCCTCTCTCAACCCCCCTACCCACTAGAACCTCTGCTTGTAGGTGAGGCTAACACCCTGTTCCGGAGCAACTCTCTGGCCTCGAAGTCCATGGAGTCTTTTCTGAAGGTGAGGTTGAGTGATATGTGCTCTTTGTGTCATAGATGAGGAGTTTCAGAAGGGCCAAGAAGCAGAGTGGGAGCTTAGATTCCAGTTTCCTGTGTCCAGGGCCCTTTAAGGCTAAGAATTGCCTTCATCCGTCCATGCAGTCATCCTGTGGCAGCAGTGTGTCGCGCCGTCCCCATTGTGTGCCCCGTTCTCTCCTGAGTAGACACAGCAGGCAGATGGTGTAGGGGGTGGCTGGGAGGTCAGCTGCAGGGAGATGGCAGGCAGCTGGAGGTGGGAGACGGGACCAACGCCACTCACCGCCGCCCCCAGGTGGCTGGGATGCGGTATCTGCACGGCGTCCTGGGCCCCATCATTGACAAGGTGTTTGAGGAGAAGAAGTACGTGGAGCTGGACCCCAGCAAAGTGGAAGTCAAGGACGTAGGGTGAGGCCGGGGGCGATCCCTGGGGGCGGGAGTGTCAGGCCCTTTATGCAAATGTATGTTTTTCGCCCTTTCTGCCTGGGCCTGGGTCTACCTTTTCATCGCTCTGCCCACCTGTGCGTTGCCTGTGTGCCCCTGTCTCCGCTGATGCCTTACTGCGCCTGTCTCCAGGAGCCCCTGTGCAGCCGTGTGCACGGGCGCTGACCTCGACCTTCTCTTGCGGGTCCCCTGCGGGCCGACGCAGGTGCTCGGGGCTGCACCGCCCGCAGACAGAGGCCGAGGTGCTGGAGCAGAGCGCGCAGACGCTGCGCGCCCACCTGGCGGCGCTGCTGAGCGCGCTCAGTCGCTCCGTTCGCGCATGCCCCGCCGTGGTCCGCGCCACCTTCCGCCAGCTTTTCCGGCGCGTGCGCGAGCGCTTCCCCAGCGCCCAGCACGAGGTGCGCCCTCTGCCGGTGGGGCCGGGCGGAGGGAAGAAAGCGGTGGGGAAGGGGGCAGCTGTGGCGCCCGGAGGCGCGGTGTTGGGGGGGGGGGGGGGGGGGGGGCTTCGAAGCGCCTGGCGGGGTCGTGGGGAGAGGGAGAGGCGGGGACAGCACCAAAACCCAGCGGGCTGTTCCGAGCCCCGGCCTCGGGGAGTCCAGCCCCTGCTCTCCCGCACCCCCTAGAACGTGCCATTCATCGCCGTCACCAGCTTCCTGTGCCTGCGCTTCGTCTCTCCCGCCATCATGGCGCCCAAGCTCTTCCACCTGCGGGAGCGGCACGCGGACGCCCGCACCAGCCGCACCCTGCTCCTGCTGGCCAAGGTGCGGGCCGGTGGACGCTGGCGAGATGCCCGACCGGGTGCCCGGGGGGGCCCTTGCCTGGACAGCGGTGTGCCCCCCACTGGCTCCAGGAACACCTGTAGCACCGCACTTTATAGTTTGCAAAGCGTTTTCACGGGCACCGATCTCGTGTGGATGAGGAAACGGGTCTCCGAGGGGCAAGAGGTTCCCCAAGGCCGTGTAGCCTGCGTGTGAATAGGGGGCCTTGTAGCTCCAGCTCTACTCACTCCCAGGCTGGGGTCGTCACACCCAGTGGAACAGGCTGATATTAAACTTGCTGTGAAAGGCCAGCCGGTTGGGCTCAAGTAGCCTCCACTGTCGGGTCCCGAAAGGCTTCAGACTCCATGGGGTGCTCGGCGCCGAGTCCCAATGGGGATGGAATGGGCCTGTGAGCAGTGCGTGTGCTGCCTCCACCTCTGCTTCTACAGTGGAGGTAGCACAGATTTGGTGGTGGGGCGGGGGAGGTTGCAGGGGTGGGCCCTTGACCCAGCAGAGCCTGGCCCTCGGCGGCCGTCCCCCCTCAGGCGGTTCAGAACGTGGGCAACATGGACGCGCCAGCTTCCAGAGCCAAGGAGGCTTGGATGGAGCCGCTGCAGCCCACCGTGCGCCAGGGCGTGGCCCAGCTGAAGGACTTCATCACCAAGCTGGTGGACATCGAGGAGAAGGAGGGTGAGCTCTCCCGGAGAGAGAAGCTCCGCGCCCCGAGCAACCGCCCCAGACACGCGTTTGCTCCGCCCCCCGGCTGGTGGCCCCGCCCACACCGGATCCTCCTCCGGCCCCGCCCACAGCTTCCAGGTGTCGTCTGCCCCGCCCTGTGTCTCCGGTCCCCACCTACCTCTGCGCCTCTGGTTGCATCCGCGGCCTCTTGGTCATGTTTGCCCGGCTCCCTGCCCCATGGCCTTGCTCGCTGCCGCCTGTGCCCCTCGAGGCCCTGCCCACTGCCTGCTGTCGATGTTTGCTCTGCCCGAGTCCCTGCTTCAGCTTGGTCTCTCGGCTCACATTTTGCCCTCCCTCCCTTGCCCGCCAGAGCTGGGCCTGCAGCGGGCGCTGAGCTTGCAGGCGCCGCCGGTGAAGGAGGGGCCGCTCTTCATCCACAGGACCAAGGGCAAGGGTCCCCTCATGTCCTCCTTCAAGAAACTCCACTTTTCCCTCACCACCGAGGCCCTCAGCTTCGCCAAAACGCCCAATTCCAAGGTGGGTGAGGAAGGAGGTGGGCAAGCGGGGGCACCCTGGAGGCCCCTGTCCCTCCCTTGGAGCCCATCCCAGGGTCGGGCAGGACCCTGTTTGGGTGGCAGCCACAGTATCTCTTAAGACTCACGGGAGGGAAGCTTCTCTTCCCCAAGGGCCGGGGGTGGGGGGACAGTGCTGCAGTATCAGTCCTGGCTTCCTGGTGCATGAATTGGGTGGGGGGCTGAGGGGTGCTTCCGGGAAATAAAGGAATCAGAGAGGGTCTGGGAGGAGTCCTGGTTTCCAGCTCTAGGAAGGGTCTCAGTCGCTCTGAGCCTTGTTGCCTTGGCCTTCAAGTTGAGGATGACGGTCCCTACGTGCCAAGCTGTTGAGGGTAGAGCAGATGGTCGCTCTGAGGTGCAGCACCTGGGCCCTGCACGGGGCAGGATCTTGGCCAGTGGAATGACTGAAGGCCCTGGGCTGGTCCCTCTGTGCTTTTCTCCCAGGAGGGGCAGAGGGCATGCTTCTTGGGCAGATCTGCTGACCCCAAGCTGGGCCGACCCGGCCCCCAGTCAGTCAGGCTCTGGGGACAGTCTTCCGGGGATGCCCAATCCAGCCCTGAGCAGTCGATGGGGGAACTGAGCTCCTTGGGTGACTCCTCAGCCTGGGCCTCTCGCTTTCCAGCGCCTTCCACTCTAAGCAGCTACCTGGCCACTGAGTCCCCTCAGCATTTTTTGCAGCCTCAGCAGAGCCCAGCAGGACCTTCCCTCATCCCCCTCTGGGCTCAGCATTGAGCTCTGCCCTGTTGTGGACATACCGCCTATCCCCCTGTGCAGCACCACCCCCGTCTGCCCCCCTCCTGTCTCCCCTCCAGCAGGTGTACCCCAGAATGGGCAGCACATCCTCTGCCCTTTTCTTTTTTTGATTAAAAAAAATTTTTTTAATGTGTATTTATTTCTGAGAGAGAGACACAGAATCCAAGGCAGGCTCCAGGCTCTGAACTGTCAGCACAGAGCCCGACGTGGGGCTCGAACTCACGAACCGTGAGATCATGACCTGAGCTGGTCAGACGCTGAACTGACTGAGCCACCCAGGCGCCCCTGATTTTTTTTTTAATTTTTTTTTTAACGTTTATTTATTTTTCAGAGAGAGAGAGACAGAGCATGAACAGGGGAGGGGCAGAGAGAGAGGGAGACACAGAATCTGAAACAGGCTCCATGCTCTGAGCTGTCAGCACAGAGCCCGACGCGGGGCTCGAACTCACGGACCGTGAGATCATGACCTGAGCCGAAGTCGGACACTTAACTGACCAAGCCACCCAGGCGCCCCGCCCCTGATTTTTTAAAATTGAAAAAAAAATTTTTTTTTTTATTTTAGAGACAGCACATGTGAGAGGGGCAGAGGGAGAAAGAATCTTAAGCAGGCTCCACAGTGAGCATGGAGCTTGTGCAGGGCTCGATCCCACAACCCTGGATCATAACCTGAGCCGAAATCAAGAGTCAGATGCTTAACCGACTGAGCCACCCAGGTGCCCCTCCATCCTCTGCCCTTTGGGAGGCTCTGCCCCAAGATGGCTCAGATGTGTGTCCCCAAGGCTCCCCTCCAGGTTTCCCCACTCGCTGCTCGTCACTGAGGCCAACAGGGGTTGTTGGGCTTGGATGCCAGGCTGGGGGGTGTGGGTGCTCTCCAGAGGGCCGCGGGGACTGGTTATCTGTGTGCTAAGGGCCCCGGCAAGCTCTGATGGGAGAGACCAGGGGCTGGGGGCCGCTGGCACAGGCGGAGTTTCAGCAGCTTGGGGGCCCCTCGGGGATGTGGATCTGTTAGGCGCAGAACTCCCCATCATCCCGTTTGTGTCTTACCATATTGGATGACGACAGGAGTGAGAAGGGGCCAGGAGGTGGGTTGTGACTCTTAGAGCTGGGCAAGGTAAAGGCAAGTTGGGGAATTATTCATAAGGGAAAAGGCACAGGGTCTGATTCCGGCAGGTGCTACCTTCCAGCCCTGGGGAATGCTGGGATTCCAGACAATGTTTCCCATGCTCAGACCTCCCGGGGCCGCCGGGAACCCTCGAGAGGCCAGGCATCGGTCACCATCTGTCTGCACTGCATCTGGCCGAGGTCACTCACAGAGCTGGGTCCTCTACGCCAACCCCCGCTGCTGCAGAAAGGGAGACTAAGGCCCAGAACTAGGAAATGGCGGGGCCCCGGCTGGGACCCTGAGTCTGCCCACTCCACCCACTCCAGAAAAGTGCCCTCATCAAGCCGGCCAACATCCGGGCGGCGGAGAAGGTGGAGGAGAAGAGCTTCGGCAGCTCGAACGTCATGCAGCTCATCTACGAGGATGATGCGGGCAAGCCCCAGACCGTCTACCTGCAGTGCAGGGTGGGGGCCGTGGAGGGCCCTGGAGGGGAGGGGCGCTGTGGGAATGGCCACCTGGGGGGCGGCTACACGGAGGCCCCAGGGAGTCCCCTACCCCTTTGTCGGCCACATCGGGTCCAGCAGGGTGTGAGATCCGGCGTGTGTATGTGTGTGTGTCTCGTGTGTCTGTGTCCTAGACTCGGGGTGCCGTGCCTGCCTTTCCCTGGGCCTGTCCGGTTACCCACATGTAGGTCTGTGCGAGGCCCAGCGTCTGGACGTGTATGTCCCCATGATTTGGAGCTTCGTGTTGTACCTGTTTGCGGGAAACTGGATTTCTGAGTATGTGTGTTGGTGCCTGTGTGTTTGTGTGTGTGTATCAACACGTAATAATCACACGTTTACGGAAGTGTGTGGCCCCGAGTGCGTGACCTCAAACCGCCTTCTCGTCTTTTCACGTATTAACTCATTCACTCATCTAAAAAATATCTGGTGAGCACGTGCAAGGTCCCCGGCTGTTCTCAGCCGTGGGGGTTCAGCGGCAGGCAGAACACAGCCTTGCCCTGGTGGAGCTCGTGTCCCAGGGGAGCAGATGGATGTTAAATAAATATTTAAAATGTCAAATGGTGGCAGTGCCTTCAAGAGTACAAAGGGGACTTAGGGAGGGAAATAGGACAAAGTAGGCTTCGGTGGGGGGAGGACCCCCAACGCGTGGCATTTGAGCAGGGCCACTGTGAAGGAGGGACCATCTAGGGGGGACACAGGGATCAGGAAGGAAGGCTGAAGTGGGAGGGGTTTGGCTTGTTCTGGGAAGTGACTGTCCCAAGCCACAGGGGGAAACAGTGACAGCAGGGCCACCACGTATCGTCGGCAGGGGGTATGCTGCCCCAAGGACAGCGGAGGGGGCCGGTGGTGGCCGCGGTCCAGCCCACGCTTTGCGCGTTGGCCCACGTGCCTGGGAGTGCCAGGGAGGGAGGGCTTCCCAGAGGGGGTGACCTCTGACCGCCGCCCCCCGTGTCGCCTGCAGTGCGTGAACGAGCTGAACCAGTGGCTGTCTGCGCTGCGGAAGGTGAGCATCGGCAACCCTGGCCTGCTCGGCTCCTACCACCCTGGCGTCTTCCGCGGGGACAAGTGGAGCTGTTGCCACCAGAAGGACAAGTCAGGTGGGAGAGGAGGCGCGGGCCCCTACCCTGCACCCATCCACGCGGGGCCTTCGAGCCATGGCTTGCTGGCCTGGCTTGGGGGGGCTGCCTGTGCGCCTGCGGGAACTCGCCAGAGGCCGGCCGGCCCCTGCGGGTGCTCCGGGCAAGGAGGGTTCGTGACTGGCTGGTTTGGGAAATGCTGTGTGGTGTGTGTGCCGCGTGAGGGGACACGGAAGGCCCTGTGGTGGCCTGAAGCCCAGTTGGGATTCCGTTTCTAACACCCTGTGACCCAGGGCTCCCTAACTCACTTGACAGGAAGCCTTGTCTTGCCCAGTGACTGAGGTTCTTGCAGAACCAGGGTTCCAAGGAACGCGCTTTAGGAATTCCTTGCTGATGAGGGCAAGAGAGGGCCCCGGAGTTCACAGTCGGGTACCGGAGCTGTGGGCAGGGGGACCCTGGGCACTAGAGGGCTGGCCGGGAGGAGCCTCTGCTAGAACTTTCGGTGATGACGGAAATGGTATGTGTCTGTGCTGCCCGGTACTGAGCACGTGCTGGTCGTGAGCGTGTGTCTAGGCTTGAAATGTGGCTAGTGTGGCCCGGGAACTGAGTTTTAAGTTTGTTTTCTCGTATATAATTTTATTTTAGTATTGCTATTTTTTTAACGTTTAATCGAGAGAGAGTGGGAGCAGGGGAGGGGCAGAGAGAGAGGGAGGCAGAGGATCTGAGGCAGGCGCTGCGCTGACAGCAGAGAGCCCGATGTGGGGCTCGAACCCATAAACCGCGAGATCGTGACTTGAGCCGAAGTCGGATGCTCAACTGACTGAGCCCCCCAGGCGTGGCTAGTGGCTACCCTGTCGCACAGCTCAGTTCTGGAACTGTGACGATCTTCCCTTACCTCCGGCTGCTTCACAAAATTCTTGCTCCCCAGTCACAGAAGAGCCTCAGCCCTTGGAGCCCCCCCGCCTCCAGGCCGGGCCCCTGGAGCCTGGCACGGGAGGCCCTCGGAAGCTGACCCACCCACTCTAGCCCGGGCCCGCGTGTGGGACTGAGCAGTGGCGGGTCTTTACAAGGGTGTCGCTGGTCAGTTGGCCTGACCTGGAGCTGTTGGCTTTGACCTTGGTGACAACCCTCGTCATTGGTGAGGGGGGCTCCCCAGGGCACTAGGTGGCAGGGTCTGGTAGCCCATTTTATGGAGGCGGAAACTGAGGCTTACCAAGGGCCAGTACCTCTGCCAAGGTCGTAAAGCCAGCAAGTGGCAGGGCCAGCTCATTCCAAGGCACAAACCCCTCAGCTTCCCTCCTCGTGATCTTACGGTTCCAGGGCACTCCCTTCTTCCTTCCAGAAGGTTGTGCAGCTCCCACGCTCTGCCTTCGTGTGTCCCAGGGCTCAGGAGCGAATCCGAGGGACGAGCTGCTGCCCTCCTGGGGCCCCTGAGCGTATTCCTGTCCCTCTCCCGGCCTCAGTGTCCCCACCTGCACTCCCAGGAAGTTGGACGTAAGCTCTCACAGGGCCTGCCCACACCCTGCCCTCTCTGTGTCCCCAGATCTGGGCTGTGACAAGACCCGGTCACGGGTGACCCTGCAGGAGTGGAACGACCCTCTCGATCACGACCTGGAGGCCCAGCTCATCTACCGGCACCTGCTGGGCGTGGAGCCTGTGCTGCGGTGAGGGGGCCCGTGCAGCCCCAGGGAATGTGCCAGGCGAGGCCCAAAGTTGGGACTCGGGCTCAGGGCTGCTCTGTGTGGCTGGTCTCTCCCTTCGCATCAGGCCCGGCACGGGCCTGCCTTTGGTGGCCACACCTGGGGAGGGACACATAGGTCTCTGCGGCATGAGGCACTTAGGGTAAAGGTCCATGGGCTGTGGAAGCCCCAGCCTCCCAGCCTGTCCAGCCTTCCTGTTGTGCCCTCGGGGCTCAGGGGTTGCCCTCGGCCACCTCTCCGAGTTCCTCAGCCACCTCCGTGGTGCCCTGGTTCCCAGCCCTGGCCCCAGCTCCCCAGCTCAGGAACCAACGGGATGCCTGCGCCCTACCCCACTGACTCAGAGGCTCTGGAGGACAAGGCCAGCATGGCGATATTTTTAAGCAACCCGGTGTTTCCTGAGAGTGCTGCCTCCCCGAGTCTGCGGAATGGGGGCAGTTTTCTCTCCCACACTCCTGTCCCCGGGCCCTGGGGGAGGGGGGCTACGGTCCTCGCTCCTTCACGACTTTTCCTTGTTTCCAGCGGTTAACTCTCTTCCTCAAAACCCTTCAAAGCTCATGCGGTCAGATTAGAACCACTGGCCCCCTTGTGAGCCACAGTCACCAGTAGCCTCCAGGCCACCCTGCAGCCACCTCCTTTCTGCCGGTGCGGCCCTGTCACCAGCTCCCTCTCCACCCCTACTCTGGCCCCCTTGTTCAGGACTTCATCCTCCACCTCCAAGACGAAGCCACCACCTTGTCTGCTTTGTTCCTGGGACCCACGGTTACCCCCATTTAAGCCAGGAAGTGGCAAAGGTTTGAACCCAAGCAGCCTTGTGTTCGGGTGGTCCCAACACGGGACCAGGGCTCATAGTCCCAATCACAGCACCCTGCCTGGAGAGCCTCTCCCACCTCCAGAACGCCTCGGCCACCCTTCTCATTGTGCCCACCTCCTTGCCACCCACACCACCAGACCTCCTGCCTCACCCGCACCTCTGATCCACTGACACGGTGGCCTGTCCTCAGCCCTGCTGTACCCACTTCCCATGGCTGCTGGTACCAATTACTGGACACTTGGTGGCCAGAAACAACGCAGATGTATTCTCTCGTGGTAAATGTCGAATAAGTAAATGAACAGAGCAGGTGAGGGCCTGGACCGACCCCACAGGACCTAGAAGGCATCTGAGGAAGAGGACCCCATTAGATCTTAGCACAGGGACACCTCTCTTCCAAAACAGATCAGGGAGACCATCCAAAGGGCCAAGCCAGTCGAATTCCTAACTAAGGAACTTCAAGCCTGGGGTCCACTTGGCCGCCCACTCTCCCTCTGTGCAAACTCACAGGACTGTACCCGAGAGGGCCCAGGGTGGCCCAGGTCTGGTGGACCCCGGTTAGGAACCGTGCTTGAATTGTCAGTTTCCTATTTCCAGAAGAAAGAAGCTGGTTCCACAGCCAGTTAATAGTGGGGACTTTCAGGCCCCAGTTGGCCCCTTTCCCCAGGGCCCTCTGAAATAGGAGTGGTGCCTTTTGATGACCACCGCCCC